CCAACTGGTATCATATTTCTACTTTTTGAGGAACTTCCTTTAACATTTCTCATAGTACTTGTCGGCTGGCAATGAATTATTTCAGCTTTTATTTGTTTTATAAAGTCTGTATTTCCTCTTAAATTTTGAAAGATATTTCTCCACGTAAAGAATTCTTGGCTAATTGTTTTTTTGTTTGTTTTCTTTTAGTACTCTAAAGATATCTTTCTATTTTTTTCTTCATTGCATGGTTTTTGATGAGAAGTATGCTGCTATTCTTTGTTTCTGCATTTTTTATGTAATGTGTCTTTTTTTTTCCTTAGACTGCTATTAAGATTTTTTTCATATATATACAAATCTTATTTGTCAATTAAAAAATAAAATTAAAAATTAAAAAAAGATTTTTTTTCCTTTATTACTTGTTTTTAGCAATTGATAATGGTGGCCCTTGGTGTGATATGTCATTATGTGTATTCTGCTTGGGGTTTGTTGATTTTCTTTAATCTGTAGGCTTACAGTTTTTATCAAATTAAAAAAATTTTTTTCAACCATTATTCTTCTAATTGTTTTTATGTTGTCCCTATCTCCTCTTTTCTTTTCTTCTTTCCTTTGAGACTCTAGTTACACATGTGTTGTGCTGCTTGATATTGTCTCCAGATAACTGATGCTTTGTTTGCCCCCCCTACTTTTTTTTCTTCCTGTGCTTCATTTTGGATAGTTTCTCTTGCTATATCTTTGAGTTCTCTGATTTTTTTTAGTTGTCTAATGTGCTCTTAATTTCTTTCAGTTTATTTTTTGATTCATTTATTGTGTTTTTCATCACTGGAATGTACATTTGGGTCTTATTTACATTTCTGTTTCTCAACATCATCAGGTTTTTCTGGAATATATAGAGCATTTTAAAAATTGCTGTTTAAGACAATTTTCTATTAATTCCATCATCTCTGACATTTTGGGAACTTTTTCTGTTTATTTTTATTTCCTAGTTATGGTTGTATTATTTGGCTTCTTTTCATGCTTGTCAATATATCACTGGATGCCAGTCATTAAGAATTTTGTGTGGTTAGTTGTTAGATTTTACTATATAAACTATATAAATTTTATGATGCATAGCTAACTTTCTTGGATTTAGTTGTGTTCTATGGAGGTTTGTTTCAAAGCTCTGTTATGGTGAGCATAGAAAAGACTTTAGTTTAGACTAATTCAGTCCTACTACTAAGACAGTGCCCTTTTTTCCTTTTTGGTGGCTGACTGGTATGGGGATCTGAGCCTTGTAAGGCTGTGTTCTAACCAGCTGAGCTAAACTGGCTAGTCGGCAGTGCCCTTTTTGAAGATCCTCACCCACGTGCCATGGATTACACGGTCTTTGTCCTCTGGCTGGGGGAGCACTGCCGGGAAGTATTCTGCTGGCTCTGTTCTGATGCTTCCTTCCTCAGTCTCGGGTGGTTTTCTCTCACGGGTGCACAGCTCAGAACTCAGCTGAAGTATCCAAAAGAGCCCTTCCCTGACCCCTGGGAGAAGGCTAGTCTCCCACTACAGCCTCTCCTGGATCTGTGGGCTCTCCCTTCCCAACACTGGCCACAGAGGTACTGAGGCAGGGTTTCGAGATTCCACCATGTATCTCCCCCAGCCGCTCTGAGAGCTCTCTGAAGGCACGTGACCTCAGTACCCAGTGTGGTATCTGACAAATAGTAGGTACTCAATAAAAGGGTTAATTATTATCCAATATTATATGGCTTTTATTTCCTTGTGTATAGTTAGTAAAGTATTATATAGTTAGTGTAGTAGGATCATTAATATTCTCCAATAACAACTATTCTTTAGTGGAACTAATTGCTAAGTACAGAGTTTCTTGAGGAATGTCTGGTTATTTTCTATTAACTTCAAAACAGCAAGTTCGTAACTCATGAAGTACATGGTAGTCCACAGAAGCTCTTTTGAAACCCTTGATCCTGTATGAAAAGTTTTGAATGTGTATATAAATGATATCTTCAGGTTCCAAAGCTATCTGTGACCCCCAAAGTTTGGGAATCACTGCTTTACACTTAGTTAATGTTTTCATGTCCACTCCAGGCTGGGTCCATGGGTGTTCTATAAATATCATTGGGATGAAAGCTGTATGTTCCTCCTGGGCCCTGAAATGCACTAATAGCTCAAACAACATGACTGTGGTCATCTGGCTTGGCTATAACCTAGTGTGTACTTGTAAATCCCAGGCAAAGATCATGTAGAGAAATGATGTGTTTGATTGTGCCACATATATTTTTTCTACAAATATGTAATTCTTTGTTAAAATTTTCTGAGTAACTGTTATACGGTGTAAATTTTTAATAACCTCTTATTACTAGGCTAACAGAATTAGTAGAGAAAAAAATGCAGTTAGTGTTTGAAAGAAAAGTAAACATTTAGGCCTGAACTTGTCATCTCTTATTTTAAATTCTTGTCAATTACCAACTAAATTGACCATGATTTGTTTTTTTTTCTGCCAGGTAGGACTCTGCTTTTTCCATACCAGTAGTGTTACTCACCGTCTACCTAGTTTTCAGTGTAAGGAACTGTAGGGACACATTTACACGTCTATAACAGGTGCTGATTAATCTTTCTGGAGCTATTGAGGCAGTTCTCTTGCCAAAACTAGCCTCAGGGAAGTCTTTGGCAGACTGTTTCTTTATCTTTATTCTTCTAGGTCAAAATGGAAAACTTGGGTGGGGGGAGTAGGGAAAAGGAGGGCTCTGCTAGGTATATTTCTCTATATTGTGCATAAACTCCACCCAGACCCTCTTTGAAACAGGCGAGAGTCCTCTTGATAATTGGATTTCAAATCCATGCAATTCCCTACCTGCCTTATCTTTTTAGGGATGGCCTCTTCTCCAGCAGGAATGCAATGAAGAGATAGATGTCTGCTTAATAGAAAATGTTGGTCATAGCAAGGATTCTTAAAAAAAAGATGGCTACATTTCTAAACCATTTTATTTTAACCTAAAAATGTATGTCCATATGCTGATCTTGTGATCTAAGCCAAGGCCTTGTCTTGGCACCTGGATCTTCTCCTTTCTTCTGTGTACCACACCAGAAAGGCCTCATCCTCATTTCCGGGTTCAGTATGTTAAGTGGTGTGAGAAGACTTGTGCTAAGCAACAGGAATGTATGTTCTTACAGTTATTTATGATGTGTTTGCAACATTTCCCACTTGTGTTACCCACATCTAATTTGACAGCTGTATTTTAGTAACTCATCTTTATTGAGTCTTTCTGAAGAATTCAAACTAATGTTCAGAAATAAGAACTTTCTTTTGACAGTCATATGTCATTAGTTTACATAATGTTTCACTAAGATATAAATGAGTAAAAAGGACAGCTGGCATAAATAGGTGTGGGAGTACAGATAACTGACTGTCTCTTCATGAGCAGGTCACTCCTGTGGGAATAGCTGAGCATGAACGTACTTCTGGGAAGGGCAGACTAGGTGAGTGACCAAGGGAGAGTTACTTAATCTCTCAGAGTATTGGTTTGCTCATTTGTAAAATACGGACGAGAATAGTCTTTACCTGGTTGAATTGGTGTGGGAATTGTAACGGCCCTGGCCCATTACAACTGCTCAGAAAATGTAGCCATTATTTTTATTATTATTGCGATCCCAGCAACTCCTCTTACCACTGTCATTCCTAGAGAGTAGCCCCTTAGCTATGTGTGTTCAGTGTGCCCTGGAATTAGTCAGTGTGTTCTACAGAGTGGGTGGAAAGATTAAGTTAATTCTGTGGTTGGTTAAGAGCTTCCTCTGTTTTGTTAGAGAGCATCCTTGGTGAAATACATAGCTCTAAAGTGAATTTATTCATTATGTATCTAATGAGCATCCTCTGTGTGCCAGGCATCATACTACTAGGCTCAGAGAATCCAACAGTAACTGGACACAGCCTTGCCCTCAGAGCTTCTACTGTAGAAGGGCTGATTGCAGACAAACAGTTAACTGTAAGGTAGCAGGAGGTCAGCATAGGTTGCCAATGTTGAAGGTGTGAGGAGAGTGGGCCAAGAAGGCTTTCTAGAGAGTCCATACCTAGCTGACACCCAGGAGAGAACAGGTGGGAACAGTATTTGCAGTAGGCCCTTGGGGATGTGAGAGCACCAGCAGTTCTGACAGACCAAAGCACGGGGTGCGTAAAGGGTGTGACCAGTGTTGAAGTGGGCCAGATCATGAGGGGGCCAGGTCCTGCGGGTCTTCATATGCATGAATTCACTTGTTCCAACTTCCTGATGGGGTAGGGGTGGGGTTTTATCCCCGACCTCAAGATGAGAACATGGAGGTGTAGACAGGTTAAGTGACTCACTCTGGTCACACAGCTAATAAGTAGTAGTAGGATTTGTTCCTGGCTAGGGGTGTTTGGCTCCAGAGCCCATGAGCTCAGCCATCCCACTGCATTGGAGGGAGGGGATGCCTGCATCAGAGGTGCAGGGAAGAGCAGGTTTAAAGAGAAAGAGGAAGGATGACTCATGTTTGGCCAGAGTACATTGGAGGAACCCCATGGGTGTTCCTGGGGAGGGGTCAAGCCGGTGTTGCTGGGCCAGAGGTATGGAGGGATGGCAATTGATGTCATGGGGTGGATGCAGTTGTCTGAAAACATTTGTGGGGGGAACATTCTGTCAGATTCTGGGTAACAGGGCCAAACTTGTTTTTCCTTGGACCGTTTTAACCTATTGCAGCAGAACTACATGGCTCCTTTGTTTACTTGCTTCTGAATTCCCCAGCAGAGGAATTGTTCCTGCTCCTGGCAGTTAGAGGTAACGCTTGCACTAGACAGTGCTAAAAGGAAGGTGTCCAGTTTTTCTTTTTAGCTCTGGTCCTTGTTCTTTTGGGGTTATACAACTGCCCATCTCATTTTAGGTGAATTCTTAAGTTTGCATCTCTTAGAGGCTTCAGCTAGAAGGGGCCGCGAAGGTAGAAAGCATTCCACAGGCCATGTCCTTGCTCCTGTGACAGTTGATGCATCCTGAGTGTGGGTTTTTTTTTTCCTTCTTCCCCTATAGATGGATTTGAAGACTATGGTCCAGATTGTGACAGCATGAGGTTAACGGCCTTCTTGGACATTCCAGGCCAGGATAACCTCCCCCCACTTACTCGCCTGGAAAAATATGCTTTCAGCGATAACATCTTCAATCGGTAAGCTCAACGAGTCCTTTGCATGTTGACAATCCTCTGTTGTGTTTGATTTAAACTGACACTTACACTTGTGGCTACTTCTTTCTCTGTGACAACTTTGAGCAGACCCATGGATGAGGTGGGATATGGGCTGTCTCCAGGATGCTGGATTCTGTGTGAATAGCACCATTAGGCTTTTCCATTATTTTGATTAGCCTTTTCTATTATATTTGTTGCTGTTTCACTAACCATCTAGTAAGCCAGGAAGGAAATGGTGGTGAAATTCATGGTGTGTAAGTGATTAGGATTGCTGACTCGGTTTCTTTCACATACGTAGTACTCAGAAGTGAGCTGCCTTATTTAATTGAGAAGTCGTGAGAGGCATCAGTTGGAAGCATTGTCTGCTGCTTTGGTTTTTGGCTGTGCTGTGCTTCTGTGGCTTCTGTGGCAACTTTTCCCAACCTGCTCTGTTGTCACTCCTGGTGCTGGCAGGGTTCGATTCCAGGCTCACACTCTCTTACTTTCAGCAGATGACCTTGATTCTTATTTCCTGAAGAAAGCTGTAAGGCATCGCTTTCCATTTACAGTCTGCTCTTGAAACTTCCCTGAATCTGAAAGCATTTTGCCATCACATCTTAGAGGGCAAGTGTCTCTTCTTGCTCTGCCCCCTTGACTGGCCCTCAGCCTCTGGCTCCCTTCCTCTACTTGGTACCTCACCTCCTTCAGGTATGTCTTCTTTGTTTCTTCGCCTGTTACACAGGCCCCTTCCTTCCATTTACAAACACCAGCTCGTCTGTCATTCTAAACTGTCCTCTGAGTGGCTCTAACTTTTTTCTTCCTTCTATATTCCCTAACTAACTACACTGCTCTTTTGTAAAGACTAGATGATACTCATTGAGTCTCTTTCTTTACCTTCCATTCACTCTTTTTAAAAATTATATTCTATGCCAAACATAGGCTAAGACCTTTACATCTGTTAAATCACAGAAGGCACGCAATGATGGTACCAGGTGAGTTCCATTATTATCCCCACTTTACAGATAGGGAAACAATGGTACTCTGAATGATGTCTTTTGATGAAAGGTTCTTAATTGGAATGTAGCTCACAATTTATCAACTTTTACTTTTATGGTTAGTGCTTTTTGGGTAATAAAAGAAACATTTAACTATCCCCAGGCCACCAGATATTCTCTTATATTGTTTTCTAGAAGTTTTATTGTTTTACCTTTCACATTTGGATCTACAGTGCACCTGGAATTACTTTTGTTTGTGTATGTTATGAGGATGGGGGTCAGGTTTTGTTTACTTCCATATGGAATCCAATTGACCCAGCACCATTTATTGAAAATACTGTCTTTTGTCTATGTTCTGCACTGCCACCTTTGTCTTAAATCACGCGTCCACATCTGGACTTTCTAGTCTGCTCCTTTGTCTATTTATCTGTCACTGCAGTAGTATGACGCTGTCTTCATTACTGTCACTTTCTCATCAAAGTCTTGGTGTCATGTACAGTATGTCCTCCTACTTTGCTCTTCAGTATTGTCCTGGCTGTTCTTGGCCCTTTGCATTTCCAAATACATTTCAGCACCAGTTCATCAGTTTCTGGAAGAAAACCTACTGGGCTTTTCATTGGAATTGCATTGCATCTATAAATCAATTTGTAAAGAATTGACCTCTTTACAATATTTAGTCTCCCAATCCTTCCTTTTTTTAAAGATTTTCTTCATTTTCTCTGTGTATGTGTGTATATACACATACACTTAAGAGGGTACTTCAAAAAGTTTGTGAAAAGATATGTATAATCTTTCAATTCTATTTTTCCATGAACTTTTTGAAGTGCCCTCATATACATGTGCAAATAATTATAAAACTGTAATACATAGTTTTATGCTGTAGAGATCTGTATCTTGTTAGATTTAGTTTTAGGTATTTGACTTTTTATGCTAATATAAATTGTGTCATTTCTTAAGCCTTCTAATTGTTGCTGATATATAAAAATGGAATGAATTTTTATATTTTTATTTTGTCTTATTGATTATGCTAAGTTCGTTTACTAATTATACTATCCTTCCTGTGGATTCTTTTGGGTTTTCTATGTACTACAATGATGTTGTTTGTGAAAAATGATCGTTTTATTTCTTCCTTTCCTAACAACCCTTTATCACCTTAAGGAAGCTTGCATTTTTAGTTTATATTTCTGGTTTGCTAAGAGATTATTTTTAAATTTAAAAAATAATTTCATACTTAGAGAAAAAGTTTCAAGAATAGTAGAAAGAATTCCTGTATAGCCTTAAATCAGATTCACCAGTTAACTTTTTGCTATATTAGTTTTATAGAAAAGAGAATGCTCTTTTTCTTTATTTTTACATTGTTTTCATCTGAACCATTTGAGAGTAGGTTGTAGATGCCATGTTGCTTTTCCCCTGAACACTTTACTGTGCATTTTTCTAGGAACAAGGACATTCGTCATTCACTCATATAATCACAGTACAGTTATCAAATTTGGGAAATTTAACTGATGTAATACTGTTATCTAATATACAGATATTAATAAAATTTTGCCAGTTGTCCTAATAACGTCCTTTATATCGGTTTTTGTCTGCCTCTGTTTTTTAGGTCCAGAATCCCGTGCAGTGCCATGTATCACGTTTACTCTTCACGTTTCTTTAGTCTTCTTTAATCTCTAAGTTTCTCAGTCTTTCTTTGCCTCTCATGATATTGACATATTTGAAGAGTACAGTTCATTTATTTTGTAAAATAAATTTGGTTTACTAAGAGTTTTTTAAATCATCAATGAGGTCTGAATTTTATATAATGCTTCTTTTACATCTATTGAGATTACCAGGTGGTTTTCTCATTTAAAAATCTTTTTAAAAATTTTCTTTAAAACTTCTTTTATCGTGAAATATAACACATACAGAAATTGGATAAAACATACATATAGAGTCTAAGGAAATTTTATGAAGCGAATGTCCACATAGCCATGTGCTCAAGTCAAACAATTGTATGTTGCCAGCATCCCAGAAGTTCTCCCCCACCTTCCTGATCACCACGTCCTCCTTACCAAGGAATAGCCACTATCTTGGTTTTTATGTTAATCACCTCCTTAATTTTCTTCCTAGTTTTAGCACGTAAGTATCTACCTCCAAATCATATGATTTAATTTTACTGTTTTTGAACTTGAGTTATGTGAAATCATATAGGATACATTACTTTGTGGATTTTGCATGTAGCTTGAATTTGTTCCTTTTGTAGCATTTGTATGCTTACATTTAACCATCTACTATTAGAAAAGTTCAAGTTTTTTGACTGTTATGAACAATTTTGCTATGAACAATCTTGTATATGTATCTGGGAGTGTATAGGTATACATTTCTATGAGGCATGTACCCAGGAAAGCATTACTGTGTGATGATGTATGCTTATCTTCTACTTTAGTAGATAATGCCAGTTTTCCAAAGTGGTTGTGTCGGTCCACACTCTACCTTTGCCCTGCATTTTATCTGCCAATTGGTATTGTCAGATATTTAAATTTTAGCCAGTCTGGTAGTATGGTAGTATATGTAACGATATCACTTTGTGATTTGAATTTGCATTTTCCTTTGAGTTTGAACACCTTTTCACATGTTTGTCAGACATCTGTATTTCTTTTTTGTGAAGTGCCTATTCAAATATTCTGTTGGGAAGATAGGGTGAAGATGGGTTGTCTGTTATTCTTTATTGATTTGTAGGAGTTCTGTGTATATTCTAGATTTCAAACCTTTTTGAGTTATGTATAATCTTCCCTCATTCTGTGGCTTGTATTTTAACTCTCTTTATGGTATTCTTTTGGTGACCAGAAGTTATTCATTTTAATGTTAAATTTATTGGCATTTTCTTTGATACTTAGTGCAACTTGAAGCTTCTGTCTCTGTTCTTTTATATTGCTTTAAAGGCTTCAGGTTTTTTTCACCCTTAGTTCTATCATTTATCTGAAATTAATGTTTGTTTATTGTGTGAAAGATGGGTCCAGCTTCATTTTCTTACTTGTCACAATAGCATTTATGAAAAGCGTGTTCTTTCCCCACTGCTCTGGAGTGCCACCTCTGTCATAGTACAGTCTCTGTTACTGAACAGTGTTTGTCTACACTCTCTGCTATTCCAGTGATCTGTCTCCTCCTTAGCCAATACCACGGTGTCTTAATTATTACAGATTTGTAGTAAGTCTTGATATTTGATAGAGCAAGGCTTCCCTCCTTTTTCTTCTTCAACATGACTTATTTTCTTGGTCCTTTGTGTTCCCATATAATTTTAAATCCAGCTTGTTGGATTCTAACATAGCAAAACAAAACAGAATACCTATTGGAATTTTGATTGGGTTTATGTTGAATCCGTAAGTCTATTCATATAATATTGGAAAATATTGCCCTCTTTACAATATTTAGACTTCCAATGCGTAAACATGGTATATCTTTCCATTTACTTTGTTTTTCTTTAATGTACCGATAAAATCTGATTATATTCTCTTAGAGGTTTTGTGCTTTTTTTGCTGATGTATTTTAAGGGAAATCTAGGACATCATATTTTATCCAGTTAAGGACTTAAAACAAGTCTAACTACACTATCATTATCACAGTCAACAAAATTAACAATAGTGCCCTCCATCTATGTCCAATTTTCCCTGTCTCAAAAATGCTTTTTTATGATTGGTTTGTTTGAATCATGATCCAAATAAGGTTCACACATTTCAGTAGGTAGTTGTGTCTCTTAAATCTCTTTTTATTTAGTCCCCCCCCTTTTGATCTTACATCTCTTTTAATCTCTAATGGTTTTCTCTTTCATCTTCTCCTATATCATTTGTTTGTTGAAGGGGTCATTAGTCATAGAATTTTTCATGTTGTAGATTTGGTGGTCATTATTCTCATGGTGCCATTTGTTCTTTGTATTTTCTATAAACTAAAAATTATATTTGGACACAATCAGATTCTGCTTCAATTTTTTTTTTAGAACAGTACTTCATATGTTTTTTTGTGTACTTCCTA